AGTCTCCGTGCAAGGATACGGGACTCTTTGCAGTGCAGTTTTATCGGATTGCTGATCTGCTTTTGCTACATCTACAATAACAGCATCGCATTCACAGCTCAGGTACTCGTATATATATATTTATTTCGTGCCTTCAAATGCCTAACAACAGTAAAGCCAAGGTGGCTAATGAGGAACAATCGCCTTTGGCCTCGCTAATTCAAACGCGTTCAACGATTCTCCGCAAACTACATAGTATAAAACAACGAATTGCTTGTGAAGAAGTCGATAGTGATACGCATGTTCTTGAATGTCGACTACAAATCGTTGAGTCCCACTTTCAACATATTTGTGACATCCAGAATAATATTGAAGCTCTTTCTCTGTCAGACCAATCGGGAGCAGACRTTGAAGAAACGTACATTTCAATAAAATCTAAAATACTTTCGTTAATGAACTTCAGAAACCGCGTTTCTGAGATAAACACTAGCATTTTCAATTCAACAACCTTTGGAAATACTAGCAGTTACCATAATCGATTGCCTTCACTCAAATTGCTTAAATTTGACGGCAAATRTGCGGAAATTAAACGGTTTTTCCGCACTTTTTGCAACATGGTGCACGATGATCCAACAATGCCCAAGGTGGACAAATTTAATTATCTTTTAAACTGTCTTTCAGGACCAGCCCTTAGCGTCACCGAAACCTTTCAGGTAACCGAAGATAATTACCCGAAGGCTATACAGCCGCTCAAGGAACGATACAATAACAACGTTTTGATTTTCCAAGATCATATAACATCGCTTTTTAACACTCCGTTTATGAAAAAATCTGACGCAGCAAGTCTACGAAATATTATTGGCACTGTTGCAGCGCTTCGAGGTTCATTTCTCTCGTTGGGCTCAGAAAGTGACATAATGAATTCAATTCTAATTCATATCATCTTAACCAACATTGATTCTGATTCTAAATCAGCATACAATCAGAAGCAAGAGTTTGATCACTTGCCACCGTGGGATGATTGCTACAAGTGGCTGAATCGGCACTGTCAGTATTTAGAAACCTGTTCAAATGGTGAAAACTTAAAGGTAACACAGCGAGATTGTAAGCTACACCGTAAGAAAAATGCAAATTCATTCGTTAATGCGATGTCGACTTGTATATATTGCAATAATATAGAGCATATCCTAAACAATTGTCCATCATTTCTATAGTTGTCAGCTAAGATGCGTTTTGATTGGGCGAAGCAAGCAGGAGCTTGCATCAATTGCTTACGAAAAGGACACGCCGTATCTAAATGCCCATCAAAATCTCGTTGCCGTGTTTGTCATCAATCGCACCACTCTCATCTTCATTTCGCCACCGTTGGAACTACAAATTATCCATTTGCACAAACATTAGAACTTAAAGGGAAAGACAATACATCTATGTCTTTTACTTCGCCGAATCCATCGCATCAGTCACCACCAAATCCATCGGTTTCACTCATCGCATGCACACGTAAAAGAGCGATATTACCGACAGCTTTAATTTACGTAAAGGATAAATTTGGAGTGATGCAGCCAGCTCGCGCGWTATTTTATTCCTGTTCCGAATTGAATTTCATCACCGAAGAAACAGCAAAGCGATTGCAGCTTAAAAGGTTTCTTTCATATCAGGAAATATCAGGTATTTCAGATATTCGCTCTAATTCAAAGTACGCATAAAATGCGAAAATTATATCTCGTATTGGAGATTTTACTTGTATGTCTGAATTCGTTATAACTAAACATATTACAACACAAATTCCTAGTAGTTTTATAAGTACTTCTAAATGGAATATTCCCAACAATCTTCAGTTTGCGGATCCATACTTCTACAAACCGCAACATATAGATTTATTGCTCAATGCAGAAATATTTTTTGAGAGCCTTCAAGAAGGCACAATTCCACTTGGAAACGGCTTACCACGCCTTCAAAACAGCAAATTAGGTTGGATTGTAGGGGTTAATTTTGAAAGACTTTCAAATTCTCGCCCATCCATTTGCAGTGTCACACTAAATTCAAATTTATCACTGAAAAGAAAACAACATTGTTCGAAGAAGAAAGTTTATGCGAAAAACACTTCATTGAAAGCGTTCAAGTGAAAAATGATGGACGTACAGGTACGGTTACCATTCAAGGKTACAACGACAATATTACGCAACTCTTTCCAAAATGCCAGAAAGAGATTTCTTGATCTTGAACGACGTCTTTCTAACAATAAATTACTAAAAAACATGTATGTGGATTTCATAAAAGAATATATTAACTCGGGCACATGGCTGCCATAAAAAACTTTGATTTCAATAACTCACACTATATAATTCCACATCATTGTGTACTCCGTCCACAAAGTACTACTACCAAGCTTCGGGTTGTATTCGACGCCTCTGCGCGCACGAGTTCTGATCATTCATTAAATGAAATACTCATGGTTGGAGCAACAATTCAACCAGAACTAATCATCACATTATTATCATTTCGTTTATATCCCTATGAGTCTTATGCGCCCTTACGGTTTGGCTTCTGCATACTTCCTAGCCATTCGCAGTTTATTTCATATTGCTGATGTTAATAAAGCTGCCTTTCCTCTAGCATCGTCTGCTATTCGTGAAAGTTTTTATGTTGACGATTTGTTGACTGGTGCAGAAAGCATAGACAACTTACAAAAACTAAAAATTGAAATCATAGAGGTTCGTCGTTCCCATGGTCTTTCTCTAACTAAATGGCACTCGAATTCTACACAATTCTCTGAGGCATCTTATACTGAAGTTGTAATTAAAACAACTGAAGAAAACATTACCAAAGCTTTAGGCACGTCATGGAAACCTTTAGCTGACACCCTTTGTTATCGCTATGAATTACCTATGCAGTCAGTTACAAAGCGATCTGTTTTATCAATTATTTCCAAAATCTTTGATATCCTCGGTTTATTGAACCCCGTGATTATACGTGGCAAAATATTAATGCAAGAAATTTGGCTTCGTCGTTTAGATTGGGATGAAACACTACCTACTGATCTCCATAACATTTGGTTATAGATTAAAGCCGATTTAAATT